GCGATCACATTCATTGAGATCTGCAAAGGGTTGTGTGATGTTGAGAATGTCAGCAAAGGAGAAGTTATCAAGGCATTTCTTACAACAACAGAATGATGCAAGAACAGTATTGATGTGATCATTGCTGACAAGCAGGCGACGCTTTTTGGGGATCCACTCTTCAGCAGTTTGGAGAACTCTCTTCCTTGGAGTATGAGCTGTGGCTTGTAAGGACTGGCCAAAGATTGGGGATAGTAGGGTAGAGGTGAGGACCTCTGTGTTGGTGGGGAGAGAGTGGCTCATTGAGGTGGAGAACAAGTGAATGACACTGGAGAGGTATTTAAACATTTGGTGTGATACCTCCAATTCCCAACAGCCACATAACAGATAGATGTGGTTTTTCTGGATTGGTGAACATTGTGTTTCTGGAACTCCAGACCAATGAGCTCACAACTAATAACAGTGGAGTTGAGGAAAATACGGGACAACTTTAAAAACCTGACACCATTGGGAAACAGGACAACAAAATAAAACCAATGTGCATCAGGATAAGAGTCAACAAATTAAAAACCTGATGCACATTGGGAAGCAAGTTGACAAATAAAAAACCCAATGCACATCAGGAAGCAAGTCGACAAATAACAAACCCAATGTGCATTGGGAAGATCTCAAAGCTCTCCAGACCACATGAAATTTCGCCACCTGTTTCCTGTTCCTCCAATTAGAATTTAATGCAGACAGCTTTTTTGTAGACCTGCACTACCTATAAAACATTGAACAACCTGTTTTGATCATTTTGTTGTACCACCCATGTTCAACACACACTTCCTTTCAATGTCTTCTCACCAAGCTGCCTCCAGCCTTCCCAACTTCTCAGCCATGTCAGCCACCAAGCTTCTAGCAAGCTCCCATAATGCCCTAGCAAAGGTGCACCAGCAACCCAACACCAAGGTTATCACCAAGGCATACATTGACAGGTTGCTGCAGGCGCGGGGCCAAGACACTGGCTCCACAAAGCAGCAGTCTCTCAAACTGCTAATGCAGTGTACACCAACAATAGCAGAGGAGGGAGTGAAAGAGCCAATGGACATGGAAGAGGAGGAGGAGGAGGAGAGGAAGGAAAAGGAGGCAGAGGAGGAGGAAGAGCAGGAGAAGGAGCTGGAGGAGGAGGAGGAGGAGGAGAAGCAGGGGGAGGAGCAGAAGGAGGAGGAGAAGGGGGTGGAGCTGGAGGAGGACATAGTGGAGGAGGAGAAAGAGGAGGAGAAGGGAGAGGAGGAGTGGGAGGAGGAGTTGGAGGTGGAGGAGCTGGAGGAGGAGGAGCACCAAGCGCTGCCAAGGAAGTGCAAGCTGGTAGAGGAAGAGTGCAAGGAGAGGAAAGGAGATGGAGGCAGAGGAGATCAAGACCAAGCCTCACAAGCAGCTGGTGGTGTGCCAGTACTCTGCAGGCAACACTGAAGAGCAATGCAAGGAGGCTGCCAGTCTACTTGCCCTGCCTGACCTGGAGCTAGGTATGTACACTTTGTGTGTTTTTACTGTTCACCACACTGACAAGTTCCACAACCAAGCCCTTCATTGTTAGATTTCTCAATGAAGATGAGCACCTTGACCAAAACAACGTCAATGAGTTTGGTATTACTTCCCACACCACTTCATTTTAGCTGCACTCATGGCCATTCAGTTTTTAGGC